CGTGGGCGGGCAGCACACCCGGCGTCCGCGAGTCGCGGCCAATCAGTGCCTGTCTCGAGCCCCCACCCCACTTCCCGACCAATCAGAGCTCGATTCCCAGTCCTGCCCGCCTCACGGCCAATCAGCGCTCGCGTCGAAACCGTGCCCACTCCCTGCAGGCGAGAATCAAGGAAGCGGCTGCAGCTAAAAAGCGACGTTAGCGCCTCCGTTCTTTCCGGGGACCAGGCCAGCGCTCCAGAGGCGGCCACTGGACAGCGGTTCACCCGAGGCCGAGCTCCGCGACTTCGGCGGAGCACAAAGCCGAACGGGCGGTCGCGGGCGGGATTGCGCGCGAGACAGTTCGTCCTCTCGGGGTAGCCGTAGGCGTCAGGGGACCCGTCCCGGCCGAATCCACGTGACTCTAGGGGCGCCTAGCTGGAGCCATGGCGGTTTCCAGGCCGCTGTCCCGCTTCTGGGAGTGGGGTAAGAATATTGTGTGCGTGGGCCGGAACTACGCTGACCACGCCAAGGAGATGGGGAGCGCGGTGCTTAGCTAGCCCGTGCTCTTCCTGAAGCCGTCCACCGCCTATGCCCCCGAGGGCTCGCCCATCCTCATGCCCGCCTACAGCCGCAACCTGCACCATGAGCTCGAGCTGGGCGTGGTGATGGGCAAGCGAGGCCGCGCGGTCCCGGAGGCCGAGGCCATGGACTACGTGGCCGGCTATGCCCTGTGCCTGGACATGACCGCCAGGGACGTGCAGGATGAATGCAAGAAGAAGGGGCTACCCTGGACCCTGGCCAAGAGCTTCACCACCTCCTGCCCCGTCAGCGCGTTCGTGCCCAAAGAGAAGGTCCCTGACCCTCACAACCTGAAGCTCTGGCTCAAGGTCAATGGAGAACTACGGCAGGAGGGTGAGACGTCTTCCATGATCTTTACCATCCCCTACATCATCAGCTACGTTTCTAAGATAATGGCCTTGGAAGAAGGAGATATTATCTTGACCGGGACGCCGAAGGGAGTTGGCCCTGTTAAAGTAAACGATGAGATCCAAGCGGGCATACACGGGGTCGTCAGTATGAGATTTAAGGTGGAAAAGCCAGACTATTGAGTCTATACAAAGCATCCTAATTTCTTAAGTTTCAGAAGATAAGGGAGTTGGACTGAAGCAAGCAAAGGTTATTAAAAGTGACTCCTTTAAAAAGAAATCAAATTTTAAAGATGATTTGATTGGATTGCTGTGTCTCAACTCAGGGAAGATAGGAACTCCGAGAAAAACATGCTCTAGAACAGGCGATCAGAAATGGAAACGAGAAAGGAATGCCTGTCTGTCTTCTAGGAAACAAACAGAAGAAAGTATTTGTGATGTCTCCCATGAGGCATGAAATGTTCAGAAGACTTTCCTAAAACTGGACTGGAAAAGACTTTTCAGTGAGTCATTCTGGGATCAGTAGTTCAATAATTAAAATATGCAAAGGGAGTTGAAAAGCATGTTTCAAATGAATGTTTCCTACATTTCCTTGATCATGGTAATCATCTGAAGGTATTTGTAAAAAAAATATTTCCAAATTACTGGCCCATACTGGGCCCACTGTATTAACAGAATTAATCTCCAGCACTCCATGTGATTCTTATGAAATGTGGAAAAACACTACTCCACATATTTTAATTTAAAATTTTATTTAATAAGTTAATGAATGACAACCTCACTCGTTTGTACCCTGGCTCATAGATTCTGAGTTTGAGAGATAATTTTGAGCCTGGCTGATGTAGCTCAGGGGTTGAGTGTCGCCCAGATTGCCCACTGGATCTCCAGTAGGGGGCGTGCAGAAGGCAACTTATCAATGTTTCTATCCCTCTCCCTCTCTAAAATAAATAAAAATATAATTTTGAAACTACTGTTTTTAAATAAATATGCTGGGTGTTGTGTGGACTAAAAATCTTTCCCCTAATAGTGGCTAGGAGGGATGCTTTCTTTTTAAAGGACTTCAGACCTTGGTCACACTGACCTTTGGCCTGGCGAGCACTGTGCTATTACCAGTTCATCAGCATCTCTATCTCCTGACCAGAAATAAGCAGGCTTCAGGGAAGTTAAGTGGCCTAGGTGCTACTTTTGCTTTAACCTGCACACTTCTTCAAAAAAAGGGGAGGTAAGATGCACAGCATAGCTATCAGACTGCTGGTGGAGGCATTTTAGGCTTAGGCAGAGCCTCCTACTATAGTGTAAACAGAAGATACCTGCTGGCCCTTGAAAGCTTTGCACACCTAATTTAATAATAGTTAACATTGAGCCTTAGTATTGCTAGATACTGTGTGCCAAGAGTTGTCTATGTTTTACTTACCCCTCGACAAAGCTGTGATGTTGGTATTACTACCATCCCTGTTATACAGATGAAAATATAGAGTTAGAGGTTAAGCTAGCCTGGCTCATCAGTCACTCAGCTGAGTGACAGGCCCAGATGTAACCCAGATATCCCAAGACCTGAACCTGAACGAATGCAGGATGCATCTTTTAAATAGATATATAAAAAGATTCAAATGTTTAGGTATTATGCAACCCCCACGTTTAAATTATAATTTACTATGGAGTATAATTTACTCCATACTATTTTCCACAGTGGCTGCACCAGTCTGCATTCCCACCATAAGTGGATTTATTAAATATCATGCTCTTTTTATCAAGTTTCTTTTTTAATTGCTTAAGCAATACATATTTATTACAGAAGAGTTAGAAAATATGGTTATGAAAAAAACCCCAAATACTCAAAATTTCATCTGCTCAGAGACAGCCAAAGTTAAGTATTTGGTGTACAGTTTTCTAAATCTAGATGTAATGTTTATTATTTCTTCATACCACACAATTTTATAACCTAGTTTTTTTCACCATATATTGTGACTATCCATGTTAGTCTGCACATTTCTGCAGTACTATTTTCAGTGACTGCATAAGATTCTGAAGTTAGTCCTTCATTTTTAACCATTGAGATTGTTTCTAATTATTTGCTAGCAGAATCAGCACATTTATTATTTCCTTTGGCTAGGTTCCCATAAGGAAAAGAGTTGAATCAAGGGTGTGCTCATATTGAAAGTGTATTGGTCCAGGTAGCAGATACAAGGTTCAGCTGAGACAGTTCTACCAACCTCAGACTTGAAAGCAAACCAAAGATATGAGCTGGAGCCATGTTCACATATAGCTCCCTTGGGTGGCATAAGCCAGCACCCAGAAAATGTATGCTGCCCCTGAGGTCATTGTTCATCACAATGGTTATTAGCTTTGTCACAAACAGCTGACAACAGCATTGTGGGTGTCACATACAAAGTCCTTGGCTGCAAGAATTAAAAACTGACTCACCAATTCCCACAAATTCTGATATTGATAAAATACAATAATCCTAGCACCTAGAAGGTACATTTTCCCCCTAACTTTTATTTTGCATAAATTTAAACCTAATAAAAAGTTGAAAGTCTAATATAACAAACTATATATGTATACTAGAGGCCCTGTGCACAAATTTGTGCACAGGTGGGGTCTGGCCTGCCCAATCAGGGTCTATTGGCCACTGGCCAGGGGGAGGGGATGTCGGAAGTTGGCTGGCTGGCCTTGCCTCCCATGGGGTGTGCTGATGGGGGCAGGGCTGGGGAGAGGGGCCATGAGCAGTTGGCCAGCTGACCCCGCCCCCTGGTCGAGCTCCCAGTCAAGGGGACAATTTGCATATTAGCCTTTTAGTATATAGGATGTGTGTATGTGTGTGGTTGTGTGTATATATATTAGTATATATGTATACACACACACACATACATGGGGTGGGCAAAAGTAGGCTTACAGTTGTGAGTACACAAAACTATTTTTGTTTTATTATTAATTATTAATGGGCGTATTATTTCCCATACAAACAACTAAACCAACTTTGCCCCACTGTGTGTGTGTGTGTGTGTGTGTGGGTGTCTATCTCAGTTCTCTAACTTAATTCATCCGGAAGGCTGTTTGAGAAGCAATTGGTTAGAAATAATGTAAATTGAATAATCCATTCCAGACCTCAGAATGATTCTTTGTTTTAACCTTTCTTATATACAGTACATTTCTAATGTGCTGTTTAATCTATAAATAAACACTTTTCTTAAATTTACTGAACTACTTGCTACTAGCCTTAAATGAATCACCTTCAGCACTCATTCCAGGAGTGTCTTTCAGGTCAGCAGGTAGTATCTTTGCTTGTTCATATATCACTGCCTCCAAGCTGGCTAACTGCTTTCAATTTATTCAAATCAACTGTTTTTCTACCTCTTCAATTGCCTGTGATCGTTGATTGTTTTGAACCCTTAGTAACACTAGCATTCTTGATGGCCTCTTTATGTTTTAAAATTGAGCTAATCGATTTTGCCAACAAAAGCATTTTCTCCTTTGTTTGTTGCCTGAGAAGCTTTTTGTCATGCTGAAGTATCAGCATGAAAGGGTTGTCAGTTTGGTTAGACAGAGACACCACTAGTATTTCTGTGAATAGCTTGGAGAACTGAATTGTTTGCCATGGGAAGCATTTGGGAAGTGTTGGAGAAAGGAGGTTTGACTGCAGTAATCTGTACTTGACAAGAGTTTTTAAGAATTCCTTTTAGGCGCTGGCTCTGGGTGGCTCAGTTGGTTGGAACATAGTCTCATAAACCAAAAGGTTGTGGGTTTGATTCCCACTCAAGGCACATACCTAGGTTGTGGGTTCAATCCCTGCACTCGCTCTCTCTCTCTCTCTCTCTCTCTCTCTGAAAAATTGATAAAAACATATCCTCAAGTGAGGATTAAAAAAAAGAAAAAAAATACCTGTTAGGCCCTGGCCAGGTAGCTCAGTTGGTTAGAGCATCCTCCCAATATGCTAAGGTTGTGGGTTTGATCCCCAATCAGGGAACATACAAGATCACCCAATGAATGCATAATGAGTGGAACAACAAATCGTCTCTCTCTCAAATCAATAAAAAAAATTTTAATATATTTTTATTGATTTCAGAGAGGAAGAGAGAGGGAGAGATAGAAACATCAATGATGAGAGAGAATCATTGATCAGCTGCCTTCTGCATGCCCCCCATTAGGGATCAAGCCCGCAACCCAGGCATGTGCCCTTGGCCAGAATCAAACCTGGAACCCTTAAATCCACTGAGCCAAACCGGCCACGGCAATAAAATTTTTTTTAAAAAAATCTTTCTCCGACTGGCTTATTTCGCTTGGCATAATGCTCTCCAGGTCCATCCATACTTTGGTAAATGGTAAAAGTTCTTTTTTTTCCATCAGTGTAGTATTCCATTGTGTAGATGTA